TTGAGCATTATATTATGATGGTGGTAGTGATAATAATAATAATAAGAAAATATCACCAGTTAGAAGTATCAGATTAGAATGCACTAAATTGAATGTCATTGATGGGATTTGTTTCAGGATGATGGATGGTGCCTAGTTCCTAATTTGGATATAGAAACCCTGAAAAGTTTTGTTTAGATGTTGTACGCGAGGAAAATGTGATATGGATTGCTGTTGGTATTTTTTATCGTTGAGATTTTATATCATTCATTGGTATATTTCTATATCGTTCATTTGTATATCATTTTGCTGGAACGATTTGAAGAAGATTTTATTAATACCATTTTTTGTATTAATTGATATGTGCGTATATATGTGATTATTACCGTTCATTTGGAGGTTATTTTTATTATGATTATTATATTTTGAGCAATTAGCAGGATTTCGTGTTTTTACGCAATGAAACATCACTTCATTTGATAATACATTAGACCACTTTCAATAATAATTTTAATAATACCAGTTGATTAGGCCACTCACTTCCTATTGAGTCAAGCAAAGACCGGGGGGTATTCGACGTTCGAACATTGTTGGTCGCGCTGCGCTTTGGCTATTCTATTTGGCTTTCTTCCTTTATCAGATATTTTCAAATTTTGTTTTCATTTTATTCTTCCCAATCTTTTCGAAGATCTCCCAAATGGTGTTTTGCTGTGTTGCCTTGGGTATCTTTCACCAACTGCACGATTTCATCTGTTATCATTTATTCTCATTCTGTGACTTGTCCAACAACAACACAATTTCAAACTGTTTATAATGTTGAATTTTTTAATATTGTTTTGATGATATATTGTACTTATAGCAATTTAATAATCACAAGCAATATTTATGAGAATAAGGTACTTCTTCCTCATTATGATCATACTAAAGTATTGTTTCTATGCGCACAGTTTCTCTCAGCGATTTAATTGGATGGGAAACGAATGCATCGTCTAATTTGTGTTTCCAGTGATTTGTATATTTTGTTTTGAAAATAAACTTTTGACTGTGGAAACCGTGAATCGTTATATCGAGACCACCATTGTAGATGTTTTCAAATTGTTATTTTATGGCCTAACTGTAAATATGCCACTTACTGAGCTGTTGGTTCATCTTGTGTAGAGGATAATTGAACTGAAAGGTCATCATAGAGTGATTTAGAGGATGGAGGATTGAGAAGCGAACTTATATTCAGTGAGTGTTGTTATCATGCAATGTATCACTTGTCGTGTTGTCCGGATCGTTGTTATGTAAATATTATCAATATTTCAACTTTTTAAGATCAACTCGGAGTATTTCGTGTGTTATCAAATTGCGTTGCGGTGGTCGAATGATTATAATTATCATTACAATTATAGTTTTGCATGTCTTATGTTAAGCGATTGATTGGTTCAGTTGTGCACTGTATGTGGCAGAATATCAGATTGTAAATTTCACTGCAACAGTTCATTTTGAGTAGCAGTATGGGAGAGTAGCCCGGAACCTCTGTGCTCACCAAATCAGTAATCGAAATTAGAATTTTACGAAGGCAAGTGATTCCCGATGCTATTATTGTTAGCTGCGCAAAAAGAAGGATGTCGAGGAAGGAAGAATGTGATATTAGTGGTGTTGATGATAACAGAGAGGCATAAATTCGTGATGAGGTGTTGTAATTGCTGAATAAATAAATTTGGAATCGAATNAAGAATGTGATATTAGTGATATTGGTGATAACAGAGAGGCATAAATTCGTGATGAGGTGTTGTAATTGCTGAATAAATAAATTTGGAATCGAATCTGCCTTGCGATTTCCACTGAATAGTATTCATTACTGTCCGTGGGAAAAGATTTGAATTGCTTATAATCAGTTTTATTCGGTGGGAAAGGCACAATCAATTTCATTTATGATCGATTGCCGTGTTTCGTAGACCCATAACTCATCGTCAAGAAAATCTCAGGTTTAGGTAAGGTTCATTCACTCACGTGTAAAGTTTATTTGATGTTGACTGCATTTATGAAACAGAAAAATCGCAGTAAATGTGATCATCTTCTGTAGTAATACTATAACACCGACTCTTGTTAATATTCGGAAATCAGAACATCTGTGATGATGGAAACCTCAAATGTGTAGACTCAAATGAGGTGATTAAAAATTTTTGTTTTGTTACCAGTTCGAAGGAATTCATATCATTTCATCAATTTTATGTTATGTATAATGAGATTCATCCTATTTTAATTTTCACGAATAAAGAAACGAATAAAGGTACGTATATATTTGCAGCATGTTGTATTAGGACAAATCTCATTATACGTAATAGGATGAATCTCATGATACATAACATAAAATTGATGAAATCATATGAAAGTTCCTTTTAACTGGTAACAAAACAGAAATTTTTAATCACCTGATCGCTACAAAAACGCCTGATTAATGCATGCACTCAGAATTTAGCAAGCTTAAGGGCGTGCACTTTTCATTTACTTTTCGTTTTGCAAAGCGAATGAATTCATTTGGATTCGCGGAACGCACAACTCGAAGTCGTGCATATTCTCTGAATGAGCAAAGTGTATCGTCAAATGCAGATAATCAAACGTGATTGTCACATTTGAGAATATTGACAAAATACGGATTAGATCATTCATTCATTAGTCACAATCGTTATTCTCATTGCTGCAATCTGTCGGAATATAAGTTCCAATAAGCATGAAATAATTGCGCGAAATAACTTTTAGTCAACATCAGTTTAATTGCAAAACGTTACTCGAAAACTTCCTAAGACTTAACTTTCATCAATTCGGAACGATAAATGCACACACAGAATTTGATGAATGCAACTGTTTACATGAATTAAATGAATACAAGAAAATACGTGTAGTTGATTGAATTACCGATAAATATTATTGACTATAGAGTGCAAATTTTGTTTGGAAGTCAAAATTTTTAGTCATATTGTTTTCAAGTTTGTCGTTGTTTCACTTCGCCTCTTGATCACGATGAAATCAACTGCGAATTATTAGTGAAACTCGTTCACGCACCGTACCTCTCCACAAATTTTTTTGAGCTCAGTTCCTTGTTTCATTCTTTTTTTGTTTTTGCTTCTTTTGAATTTCAATTTTCAAGCCGGTTTTATTTGGTCGTCATTCGATGTTTTCAAATTAAAATTCTAAATGTTCGCTCAACATCAAATGAGTGAACTGACTTGTTGGAACTTTTCATGAATTAAGAAAATTAAACTATTGTTGTTGCAATTGTTGCGGATGAATGAGTATCCCCTTCACACACATTCTTTTTCGTCAAAAATGCGCTATACATTTCGAGAAAATTTATGCAATGAACTCCGATAATGAGATTTGTTATATTCTCGTGAAAATTATCGAAAAAGAAATGTCGAAGTTCTATTTTTTTTAAATTTTAGATTCACTCTGATGTACCAGTTCATTCGCGAATTATCACGAACATTTCTCGGCGATAAAATAAACGATAAGCGAAAAATTTTTGTTTCAGTTTATTCAATAAACAAAATATTCTTTTCAAATTCGTCAATTACACTTACTTTAAATGTAAAATGATCAGTCATTCTAATTTCAGCCAGAAATTTGTCTCAAAATTTCCATGTTAAACAGACATTGAATTTTAATACTGTGCATTTGAGTGTTTATTGAGTTGAATCTTTTCAGCAGCTTGCTTATCACATTGCATTTCGACAATTTCATTGATGCTTTATTGAATAATCTCGTTCAATTAAGTTCAACTGAATAATCTCATTCAATGTGAATATTATTGAAAAGAAGTCTCTTCCTTGACGTATAACGAGCGATTATAATTGCAGTTGC